ATATCCTGTACTCCAGTTAACATGTTGCACTATAGAGAAAACATACTAAGTGGCAACCTTTATCCACAATTTTGTATTTGAATCTACTGCAACTCCCAAGAGACTTCACGCCCGTGTGCTGTCAGTAGCCTATAGTATTGCGTTATTATGGGGTTTCTATAGCCTGGAATCAACACCAGCCAGACAGATTCGAGGGTATGCATGCAGAGCTGAGGCGTGTTTCAAAGGCAGTGCCCCAGTCTTGATGGTCGTATAGACCTATATTATACAGCAGGATAAGGAGACAGAGAGACAGAGGCCGAGTGGTTTATGAGTCTACGGAGCAGGGACTTCAAATAGCAGCTCCGGATCTGCCGGATCGGTGTCAGCTCATCAGCGCATTTCAAAAGAGGAGCCGCAGGACAATGGACTGACTAACACCTCCATATAAACCTGGAGATAGACCGACTGTCAATAGAGAGACAAGCAAGAGACGGAGACAGAGAGTGAGCAGCAAATACCTCGTCTGACTGCCCGCACGGGATTTGACACTTAATTGTTGATGAGGGGTTTCCCACATATCCTGCTGGGGATTATGCGCACAAGTCACTGATCCGGGGTCTGAGCCACTGGTAGATATTTATGAAAATTACTAGCGATACATTTTACGTTTTTGTCGCCAACTAGTTTTTATGTTATTCGTGTAACTGCGCTTGCGTAATGGTTTGAGCGCATGTTTCCGAGCAATTTCTTCGTCAAAGCAAACCATCTTTTCTCAATAATACACAGGGAAAAAATCAAAATCGGAAATGTTATGAATAGGCCTAATAAAAATGTAGTTTGGTAATCAGACTACTTATTTACTTAACGAAAAAATTGCGCAATCTTATTCATGAAGAATTCACATACTCAGAGAAATGCCACAGTAAAAAAAACTCCGTATTTACGATTGCCTACTTAAAATATACTAGAAAATGTTGACTGTTACATTGCTTTCTGCAGGCGTTATATACTCACCTCATGTGAAAACAATGACATAGTTGTGCCAGCTGATATTTGATTTAATATCTTATCACAACCACAGAAGTCTGTTCCAAGAATATACCAGGACACAAACCAAAAACAGTCTGTTCACTTATCTTTAGTATTTCACCAGGATGAAATGACCTGATAACTCACAGAAACATTTATGCCTCTACCAACCCACTACACTATGTTCAAGTTTAGGCTCAAGAATTATTTCAGCCTGTCATTTGACTGACCTCAAATGACCTCTTCTGTTCTGTGAAACATTCAACACCCTAAATCTGCACGACCTGTCCAAACACTATCTGTTTTCACTGAGCCTTTTTATGACACTTAAAAGCACAATAACTGTCCTTTCAAAATAAGACTATAAATTTGTGCAAACATATGCAATGACACCTAGAAGTAGAGACAAAAGAATTATCTTCTTAAATCTGCAAATTGCCCTCAAAAGATTTTTAAGATGAGGGGGAAAACTATAATACAACAACAAAAACCTTTTTTAAAATCTAGCTGTGACTCTTTGTTCAAATCTAGCAGTCAACTCACCGATATGCATGACCCGTCCAAACACTGATGTATTGTCTACAGTGCTGCAGTTCCACCTCCTCTGTCTGAACTGGAACTGGCACTCCTTGATGCCTGTCTTGGCTCCATCTCCAATGTAGCTCATGTGGTCCTGGTACAACTGGCAGAGCTTCCTCTGGCCCTGCAGTCCGCACAGCAGCAGAACAAAATAGATTAGTAGAGATTAGTCTGGTAATGGTTTGATACTTTAGTCATCACTGTGGGGAAATTCTCCCCTTATTTGACCAGTTCCTCAGGATCAGGGTACAGAAGGCACAGAAGAGGAGCTGGTAGGAAAATCAGCTGCTGCTCTTTTCATTCATGCTGATGCTGTAGAGCCACAACATGCTAAACTACTTATCCTCACTGAAACCAAGTTATGGGAACAGTAAAAGTTGTGTTCACAACATCTGCAACTGAATTAAAAATAAAAAGAAGTCTAATGAAGGCAGTGTTACCTGAGACAGTCCAGACAGCTGACTGCAGAGAGGCTGAGCTCCAATGATGTACATCTCTGGCCTCTGGATCGGGGTCAGCGCTAGTGACCTGAGAGATAGAGCCCATATTAATTCTCAAGTCAAACTAATAAAATGAATTTATTAAACTCAGATAGAAGAGGAACAGACTGTTGCATGACTCTGTGTATAAGAGGGGGTCAGCGCAGCAGAGGACAATGTTCAGACACAGGTTTTATTAGTCTGTCTGGTCTATAAAATGTATATAAATAGACATCTGGTGAACATCTCTGCAGCCACAAGCTTTGTATTTCCTCTCCACCAAACAAGTGTAATTAAACACTGTGGTTTACAGCTGTCTTCAAACAGAAAATGTAATGTCATTTCAAGGTTCTTCTGCAAATAGTATGAAGACCATACTGTCAGAGAGGTACAAAGGGATCAGATGCTGCCAAGTTAACAGATGTTTAATAAATCCATGAGTGTATTTGAATGGGGAAAGTGTAATCTATGCACTATGCCATTTTGTTTAACTCCTTGCAAACTTATATCCTACACGGATTAAACTGGCGGGAAGGTGAACTCTATTAATCTGCACACACACACCACTGTATTGGGTGAACTAAACAGCCTATACACTCACAGGCCACTTTATTAGGTACACCTGTACCTAATAAATATTCAGAGGCGTTCCTAATATTCTGACCCTCTCATGTATGTAGCTGTGGAGGACAAAAGTATAGACACATCTAAATATAATGTAGTCCAGTACAACACCACCTTTAACCATGACCTCAATAATAAACATATCATTGAACTGACACATTTATGTGAATTTCACCAAAAACTGAAAGATTTTGAGCTTCATAAACACAGATGTTAAGGTGGAAGTCTTGCATGGAAGCGCTAACAATTGTATATGTGTGCCCAATAAAGCCGCCGGTGAGTGTGCTTGCATTTTGTAAGTGAAGAACAAGTGTGACTAAGAGCCAGTTCATGCTTTGCGCCTCAGCATTCCGCTAATGTCGAGTGACGTAATTTTCGTCATCCTCTCAGGTGCAGGCCAAAAGTTTGTGCAGCTAAGGCCCCAACCGTGCATGTACCACAATGCTTGTAAACCGCCGGTGGGTGCAAAAAGAAGGCAAACCCTCGATCTGAAGTATGAATAGGAACGCGTGTGCGCTCCTCGCCCGTAGCCGCGTGCGCACGAGGGTATGCGCAAAGCACGAATTTCCCTTAATTGACTGCCCTATGGGCACAGCAGTAGTCCGCGTTGCAGTGCCATTTGGGGCTCAGCCAAGGCAAATATTGTGACAGAGCCTTCACATTTGTTCTATTCACTGTTAGTGTCCTACCACAGGACTGGAACATCATGGCACAACACAAACATACCCCCAACACATTCACGGACGCACAAAGTGAAGTCATCTTATCAGCAGTCTAGAAGTAAAAAGGTAATGGATGCATGATGAGAATCTGAACCTAAGTCATGCGTAAACCTACAAATACACAGGTTTAAGATTGTTATCAATCTTATAAATGCAAGTTCAAATTCAACACTGTACTGTGATACAAAGACTTACATTATATGAAGATTTTGTAACCACCATAAATGAAAAACCCTTTTTCAAAATAAATCGTCAGTTGTTCTCTTATTAACCACCATATGAAGTCATTAGTTCATCCACGTTTTATTCGCCATCAGACAACTGAACATGTCTCTTAAAGTTAATGCACCGCCAGTGATTAGACGATTACTCACCACCATGAGTTGGCATCCACTACCAGCAGTTGGGCGCTGCAGGAGAGGAAGGCGCCTGCCAGCAGCAGATGTCGGACGACACCAGTTCGCTTTCTCCGGACAGGCCTGTTGTCCATGGTCCGCCGCCTCACTGCTTCACAGCCGGTGTTCGGGAGAGTGCTAGACTGTCGATACATGGGTAGAAAATGAGGAGGTGCCCTGATCAGTCCTGTGGATTCTGGACGCAAACCCTGAAAAGTAGCCAAATCAGACTTGCATGTGTCCTGTGTTTTGCCCCAGTTCTTTCAACTTGCCTTTTCCTTTCTTTAGTTAGTTTCTAAATCCATGAAAAGAAAACTGCCATTAAAAAGTCCAACAAAAAAGTGCACAGTTTTTAATCCGCAGGAAGATTCACTGTGGATAAGAATGGACAGTTTATCTGATATCATAGCATAATGTTTCGAGAAGGTCAAAGGCTTCTTGCAAAAAAAAAAAAAGTGAGTCCAGTTTACTTGGTAAAACACCAGTTCCAATATGTGCGTAAAATGGTTTGGAATCAGTTAAGTTTTACGCAAAGAGCGATGCACCCACTCCTTAAAATATCTCTAAAAATAAATAGATAAATAAAGCCACAATGTTAAAAGTGCGATTCTGTTATTGTCTTGAGGAAAGCTTAACAAGGAGATTAAAACGCAAATAGAGCAGCAAAGCGACTGTTCCTTCCTGTCCCCTCACGGCCACTCCACATCTCCCCCCTCTCTCTTTGGTATACACTCCTCCTCTTCTCACCCCCACTTCACTTCAGAACACCCCCTGCCCCGTTCATTCCTTCCTCCCTGTTTTATGGCCATACATTGCGCGCGCGCGCAAAAGATCAACAAATGGACATTGAACACAGGCAACATTTAACCACTGAACCAAACGTGCAAGCACCTGATGGTGGTTTAAAATAGTGGTAATGAGACAAATTGAGACCTGGTGGAAAATAATTCACTGTTTTAGGTATTTTTGGACAACCACTTCCTGATTACCACAGATAATAATTGTTTCTAAACCAGGCTTTATTTATGGTCAGATAAGAAAGAGATTCTCAGTTTTGGCCAAACGTGAAATGTCTTTATATTCATATTTATCCATATACAGTCACGGAATTTACTATAAATATGGACAAGACTGTATTCTAAGGAAGCAAAGAATAAAATATAATCGAGTAGAGGAATGAGTCTAGGACATTTATAATGAATGTGGAAGGAAGAACGAGGAGCGACTCAGTTCCATGAATGAGCGATTGAATATTTTTCAAAACCTCAAACAACCTTAAAAAGGTTCCTTTGCGTCAAATTCCTTTTATTAGCTGAAGTGAGTAATTTCCTTGAATAAACGTGAGCGTTAAAAAATGGCCTAATCCCCTCTTCTTTAGTCTGCGAAAATAAAAGCCACAACACAAGCCCGCCTTCCACACATACACATATTTACGCACGGACACACTCACACACACAGACGGACAGGAGTCCTGAAGAGTAAAGAAAAGGCGTGTTAAAGCAAGTTGTCCTCAATTCATAACCCGGTCAAAGACACACTGTGGCTGGGTCGGTGGGCAGTGAACCTGCAGAGGAACAAGCTCTTTGATCTGACTCAGTGCTTCTCTAAAGAATGCGTCCACAACCAAAAGTGCACGAAGGGGACATTAGACCGGGGCCCCTAAAATCCAGAGAAACTGGTCTCCTACTATTGAAAAGATTCATCAACAAAAGTCGGAGTCATATCAGGCAGAGTACAGCCTTTATTAAACAGATGACAAAGCAGAAAGTCGCCAAATAAGGTCCCATAAGAATAACAGAAACATAAATTAGTGTGAATTACTTCGAGGAATAGTATGACAATATTGTTATATTACACTGAGACGAAAGCCAGGAGGAAAGGCTGAGACCGCAGCAGAGAATCGGATGTCACTCGTCTCTGCATGACAATAGACCCGCAGCAATGTTAGGCAGAGACAGCACACCTTTCATCTGGGGCCTAAACCACACGCACTCTCAAACAGACACACAGCTCTTTGAAGTGAACTAACTGGCTGTCTTCAATACACATTGATTGATATTCTCCTGCGTTTCATGTCAGTCAGGTTGAGCGAGAGAATAAAAAACATACTGTATATGGAAACAACACTACAACTGGCCCAACTGTTAAATCAGCAAGTCAACAGGATGATAATGACTTCCTTTCTGCCCAACTGTTAAATCAGCAAGTCAACATGATGATAATGACTTCCTTTTTTTCGGTTTTGCCATATAACTCAGTAGATGCGCCCTGTAAAGTTTTGTGCCCCTCTATTACGTTAGGGATTACTGTGGCAACTGCGCCCCCATCTGGTAAAACGCAGACTTTGATTTCTCCCAAGCATCCAAACCCCAAACTCCATGTATTTTTTCTTTTTAATGGCAGAAATATCATTAGCTAAATGTGTAATATTCTATGACCCATGCATCATTTTTAGTCATATTTGGTATCTTTGGGAACTATAGGATCACCCTATAGGATTTAGACTATAGTTATGTGAGTTTGAGCAAAGTTTGGCTATGTACCAGCTACACATGTGGACACTGTGATAAGGGGTTTTTACTGTGCTGCACCTCCACTACTGCTGCTATACACAATAGAAATATTCTGAAGCAGCAGGGTTGTTGTAGACATCACTTTAAAAAAGCATAAAATCAACTTCACAAGGCTATATATGACCAAAATGATTAACATATGTGGCCCATGTAGACTCAGACATCAACAGTAATTAATGAGCAAAAATGCTGAGCACAGTCAGCTTTCATTTGAGCTCATTATGCACCGTGTCTTTGTATCCTTGGATCTTATATCACACTGGTATACTCAATTATTGCAGTAGCTGAAATATTCAGCATAATGAAAGGCTGGGGCACAGCAGTGACTCAGGATAATTACAAACCAATCAGCAGCTGCCCTGTTTTTAAATATCTCATCAGTCATTGACATTACAGCGCCCTCTGTTGTTGCTCTATCCCACAGTGTTGGGGGCTGCAGAAATTCTGGTTCTAAAGCCCAGCTTATTTTCATGTAAACATGGTTCTTGAGCTTAAAAAAGACAGAAGTTACATTATCTGTGCATTCTGAGGCATGAGATTCTTGCTAACACTGCTGGTATTTTCACACTTCTATAGAGAAGAAGCTTTATTTATTGTCATTGTAACATTGTGACACGTGCAATGAATTTTTTTTGGAGCCGAGGGCCCCAGGCTGCTATGTACATATGCGCATATGCGCCACCATCATGGGCGGGGGCTGGTGGTGGTGGTGGTCTCCCCCAAGGACACTTCGACATGTAGCCTGCAGGTACCGAGATTCGAACCTTTCGGTTGGGAGACGACTGCTCTACCCATCGCACCACTGTCAACTCCCCCAACAGGACTTGCATTGTGTATTCTGAGATATCTGACAGCCAAATTTCAATATATAGGTTTCTGCTCACAAGGTCTTCACTAATTAAAACACACTGATATTTTCATCATTGGGAATTAAAGAGGTAAAACAGTTTATTCAGGGACATGACCTGGAGCTTCAGAAATACTGAGGCAGCCACAGTTTACTGTTAAAATGTGATGTGCCTGTGGAAACACAAGGGGGAGCATTTCAGCCACAGAATACAATGTAACCAAAGGAAATGGTAAAACTAAGGCAGGGAGGAGGGGAAAGGGCAAAGAGAAAAAACTTGGACCAGGACAGATGAAGAAAGAGTCAAGAGGGAAAACAGAGCAAGTGAAAGAGAAAGGGAGTGTCCAAGTAATAGATACGCAGAGAGAGAGATAAAGGGACGACTTGTCCCTAGGGGATATGAGCAATAGCCATGCAACAGGAAGCAATGCCTGAGAAAGTCGGCAGCTCTTCTCTGGCTTAACAGCAGCCTCACTTTTTATTGCCTACCAGACTACAGCAAGAGCAGCAGCCAGCTCTGCCCTGTAGGAAAACCAGCTGCAGTTGGCTGATGAAGTCTGAGCTGATTCCCTGAGAGCTGCTCATGCCACACTGCTAAATATCTTCTTTTTTTTTTTTTTACAATTGATTATCACTAGAAAATATATCACCCTATAGTTCAAAATAGTGCTCTGAACATATGGGAGGATATATGTGACAGATTACATACTGGAAACAAAAATTCTTCTTTTGTCCCAAGTCAAGGAAACAGACATCATTTTAATCAGATGGGGCAGTTTTAACCTTTCTAAAGTGCCTGCTTATGATAGCTTTTATTGGAAGCAAAACAAACGGTGCCCCAGTTCAAGGGTTCATTTCTCCAAAGGATGAGGTGCATAAAGTGTGTTCTTCAATAGACTGCAAGGCCAAACTCAACCTGAGCATCCTCCCCAAAAGAGACAGTCACTCTGCTCTCAGTGCGTTCAGGTAGTCCTCAGCAACTTCCAGACAGAAATCTCCTAGTTTGTCAGAGTTTGGTTGTGTTCAAGCAGCAGTGAAGTAGTCAGATCTTTTACTAATGCAAAATAGAAATACTGCAATTCATCCATCCATTATCTATACTGCTTATTTCTGAATAGGGTTGTGGGGAGCTGGAGCCTATTCCAGCTGACAAGAGATGGGGTACGCTCTGGACAGTTCGCCAGTCTATCACAGGGCTGACATGTAGACAAACAATCACACACACACTCACACTCAGTCCTAGGGGAAATTTAGAGTCGCCAATCAACCTAGGCGGCATGTCTTTGAATTGTGGGAGGAGTACCTGGAGAGAACCCACACAGGCACAGGGAGAACATGCAAACTCCACACAGAAAGGCTTCAAGTTGCACAGGACTCAAACCCAGAACCGTCATGCAATACTGCAATATCAACCTAAATAAAAAAAAATAATAGTAAATTAAAAATAAAATAAAAATCAAACAAGCCATTACAAGTAAAACTCATTTGTTGAAAATACCAGTGCATGCTTTTGTATCCAAACATTAAAAGCAAAATGCACCTACAGAATCAAAAGTAAAAGCTCTCAAGGGATTCAAGAGTATTCAAGCAACTGATACCATCACTACCTAAAAACTAATTCCAAACCTATTGTACAATCACTAATCTTTACCATCTTACAAACACACCCAGAACAAACTCTAACTACTTAAGAAAGGACTTTGAGTGCTTTTTATTCTTAAAATTATTCATGAAATGCATTGTTTAGTTTTCTGCTCTTCCAGTTATGTCATAGTATACTGTGACAGCA